GGTGGCAGGTGCCCAAGTACTTGCACCATCTTCTGCTGGTTTCCCAGGTTCCTTAGCAGGGAGCTGGATCAGAAGCAGATCAGCCTGGACTTGAGTGAACACTCTGATATGGAATACTGACATTGTAGGTGATGGCTTAACCTGCTGCATCTCAATGCCAACCGCAGATTATTCTTTTAATCTTGGCTCCACAGTTTTCTGGACACTTGATCTTGGTTTAGCCAGTTAACATGCCTGGGTCTCAGTTTCTTTATCTAAGAAGTGGGGCTGTGTGGCAGCCATACACATGCACTTGCAGGCCACCAACTAATTGACCAAGAGCCCCACCTACTGCTTTGAAATCCATCACTGTGCTTGCACTGGAGCTGTGTTTGCTGTGGGCTGCTGCCTGCTGATGTGACTGAGTGTGGCAAGAGCTGCATGGTGAGGGTCACAGTAGAATTATTCCAGGGAGGCACAGAACTCCTCCGATAGCCAACCTTGGCTCAGGAACTCCTTGACAGCCTTGCTGGACCTTCCTTAGGCTGCACACGCTCTAGTGCACTTGCCTCATCCTTTCCACTCTGTCCCCTCCACTGGTGGTCAGAGTGACATAGCCTCTGCTGGCTGTCCTAGCCTCCCTGGTGCCCTCTCATTTTTCTCAAACATACATTTTTGCTGATAAAATCCCAACACATTAAAATTTTTTTGTTGAAATACAGTATACACACCAAGAAATGCACATAAGTATACAGATGAGTTTTTATCACACTCATAAGCATCACATAAATTAAGAACCAAACATTACTCGAGCCCCAAGAGTCCTCACCATTCCCTCCTTTTTTTAACAAGAAGAATATACTGTCATTTACATGATATGACTCAGTGAAGCAATATTTATACTATATACCAAATGAGATGACATCTACACAATGTTTATACTCTACATATTTACTGCCACAAATAAGAGAAAACATGTGATATGTATCTTTTTTGGATCTGGCTTATTTCACTTAGGGTAATGATCTCCAGTTGCATCCATTTTTGTTGCGAATGTCAGATTTCATTTTTTCTATGGCTGAGTAATACTCCTTCATGTATATGCACTACATTTTCTTTATCCAATGAGTACTTGATAGACGTTTGGGTTGACTCCATATCTTAGCTAATGTGAACTCTGCTGCTATAAACATGGGAGTGCAGGTAGTTCTTTCATGTCCTGATTTCATTTCCTTTGGATATATTCCCAGGAGTGGGATAGCTGGGTCTTATGGAAGACCTATTTTTAGTTTTTCTGTGGAATCTTCATGCTGCTTTCTATAATGGTTGTAACAACTTGCATTCTCACCAACCGTGTATCAGGGTATCTTTTTCTCCACATCCTTGCCAGCGTTTGTTAAAATTCCTACACATTTAATCTTGGCATCTGCTTCTGGCAGGGCCTGAATTCACACAATGTGAGAATACCTTGTGGTGAGGACCAAATGCAATGATGCTCGTAAAATATCTGTTAGAGTGACAGGCACAGGTCACTGCCCAGGAGCAAGGGAGGCTCCTGCCCCGGTCACCACTATTACCGCCATTGTCATCTTCCTAATTTTGTTTCTTTGCTGGCATCAGGTACAGAATCCTCCAGTGGCTCATCCCAGGACACAAGACAGATTTGTACCAGAGTGAGAGCAAGTGTGGTTTCTGAGAAGAAGAAATGGATTAATTCAGACACCCTTTGAAAATGTACCCAGCTTAAAGAAAAGCTACACTAAAAATCCTTTCCAGCCTTTGAAATGCACAGTCCTCTTTGCTAAAGCAGCCAAGTCCATTTTTAGTCAAATGCACAAAAGGTTTTGTAGCATTCTGAGGTCCCCATCTCGCTAGTAAAGGAAGGCTGCTCCCTTGCTGTGCCCAGGAACCTTGTTGGGGTAATGATTCATATTTCATAGATAAGCAAACAGGAGAAATGAGGTGACAGTTTCAAGGTCACCCAGTCACTGATGGGTTTGAGACAGAAGCTCTGGTTTTTGCTACAGTGCTTTAGAAGCTTAGGAACTGGGGAATCCTTTTCGAACAGTCTCTTAGCAAACTGGCACCAGGAAGTGGCTCGGAATGACCTCTCTCAATCCTAGTTCTCCCTAACCTCAGAGATGCTCGAAGTTCTAGAACCATCCATGATGTAGCTCAGTGAAGGAGACCCAGCTCCAGTTGGCTTCCGTGCCCAGGCCATTGTTCCTCTCCTGATGGGGCTTTATCCTAACGTTAGATACAGTGTAGGCTGTCCTCCTTGAGTAGATGGTCAAACTCCAAGGCTGGGAGGGATCGTGACTTATCCCCACCATAGCACAGCCCCTTGTGTCCATTTGGTGTTAACTAAATACTTGTTATTGAGGGTAGTGTTGATTCTGATAGGGTATTTGGGTCTGATCTGAAGGAACTAACAACAGAAAACAAACATACAGTAAGAAATGGAGGACCAGTGATGGAAAGGTGAGCTTTCTGGCTCCCAGAAGTTCTCAGACCAGTGGGGGAGAAGTGCATTTGAGTCCACTTGGAGGGGCAAAGGAGGACATCATGGAGAAGGCAACTTAAGGTTGAGATTGAAGAGAGTGAGGGTAGACCTGCTGCCCACCCTCATGTTGCTTTCAGTCTACTGAGTGACCTGGACACAGGCTCTGTCCGCACCTCAGTGAGTGAACGCTGTGCAAGGGAAGCCTAACCTGGCAGAGGGTGTATTAGTTTCCTGCGGCTGTTGTAACAGATTGCTATAAATGCAGTGATTTAAAGCTATGCAAGTTTATGATCTTACGGTTCTGGAGGTCAGAAGTTGAAAATCAGGCTCAGTTGGCCAAATTCAAAGTGACAGGAGGGTTGGTTCCTTCCAGAAGCTCTAGGGGATTATCAGTTCCTTGCCTTTTCCAGTTTCTAGGGGACCCATATCCCTTGGCTTGCACCTGCATTGCTTCAGTCTCTGTTTCTGCCTTCATAATAGCTCCTTCTCTCTCTGATCCTCCTCCTTGTAAGCACCTCTGAGATTGTACTAGGTTCATACACAACCCAGGATAATCTCTCCATTTTGAGATCCTTAATAACATCTGCAGAGTCCTTTTTGCAATGTAAGGTAACATATTTATGGGTCCTTCAGATTAGCATGTGGACATCTTTGGGGACTATTATTCTGCCAACCAAAAAGGAGGCAGGACAGAGGGCAGGAGGTGCTTCCAGAAGTGGGATTTAGCCCATGACTTACGTGTAGGTCTGGAGCTGCGTGGAAGTCAAAGCAGGGAGATCACTTAGGAGCTGTTGGCTTGGTCCAGGTAGGAGGTGATGGTGGCCAGGAAGAGGCTGAAGCTGTGGGGATGGGGAGAGACCCATGGGGTTGAGACAGGAGGAGGCAGAATGAATGGAAAATGAGGGCAGGGTTGAAAGAAAGCCTCCGCCCAAGGCTCACCTTCTCAGTGTCAGTAAGGGCAAGTAGGAACCTGGCTGTAGCGTGACTTGGGAAGGTTAGTAAGAACATGCTGCCAGGGTGGCTAATTCCAATTCACAGATAGTTCCATTGGAGATCTGAGTGTTTTGTGTTCATGTCAGTCTGAGGGAAACTTAACACTGAATTATTTTACTGGACAGAATAATATCCAGGAAAAGGCTAGTGTTGGATTTTGTTTCCAAAGGAAACAGCTGATTTTGAGGGTCTAGGAGGAGAGGCAGATGTTTACAATTCCGAATTCTTCTAAGTGCCCTCTGATGGCCAGGGACTGCTGGGATCACTGGTGTTTTGAACAAGGAGAGACAGTTCTGCTCATTGACTCACTGGAGTGGGATTGTTTACTCCACCAAAGTGCATAGGTTTGCCATCTCCTAATCCCTTATTTACACAACAGGCAGGCTGCAGCACGCAGAGCCCACAATAAGAATGAGAATAATAAAGGGAGGACAGGATCGAAGTGCAATGAGTGTTCATCGCTGCGCAAGACAAATGTGTGTCGGATACTACCTTGAACTTCCTGCCTTTGCAGAGAAGCCTCCTGCTTAACATATGTATTTCTAAGGTAATGAAATTGCCCTTATGGAGAATAAGGGACCATAGACAGTTCTGTGTTCTGAAAACTGGGGAAATTTCTGTTCCAGTGGCTTTTTATTAGAAGAGTATAGAAGAAAAATTCTGTTACTAGTAGATCAGGAGTGGTCATCTAAGTCATCACATTTTCTATTAGGAAATATACACTCAGGATCTATTTTATCCTTATTAGTTTTTCAGGAAGCCAGTTTCATTACCATAAAATAGCACTCTTGTTTGTTTCCATCATTACAGTTACCATTTTTTTTTCCTTTTCTTTTTTCTGCTAATAGTCTTCAGAAACTCAAACCTTCTTGACTGCTTCTGGTTTTTGAGTCTTTTACCTTCTGCCAAGATCATCCTTCTTTCCTTTGTTTTGTGATTACAGGGCTTTTTAGTCATTGGATGTTCATCTTGTCTCTGCTCTTGACGTTGCTCTAGCTCTCAGTGCTAGGATACAGTAACTGGGTATTCTTCTACTTACTTCCTCTCTCTCTGTCTTTCTGCCTCCCAATAATTTTTAAAACATTTATGGAAGATGCATATTATGAAAAAAGATATGCATAGGTTTCAAAAGTTTTTTGCCCCAAAATTAACTTAACTCATGTGTATCTTTGTGGTAATTTCTTGTGTTTCTTACATATTGTTTAAACAGGAAAACAAAAGGAGATAAATCATAAATAACAGAGATGACTTGCCAATTTGCACCCCTCTGGAAAAATATAAGCATTTCACACTCAATTAATACTTACAAAACAAATCTAGGACTCCTGGAGCTCATGTTTAAGAACTCCAAGGGGCACCTAGCAGCTGATCCAGTTCCCTGACTGCTGGGCTTGGGGAACCCTTTCTTAATCCTCACCTTTGGAAGCTGATGAAAGGGAGACACCTGTGTTCGTTTCTGACGAATTCTGTGTTTTGTTTTTATCAACACCGTCTTTCTTCCCCTCTTCCCTACCCTGATCCTCAGTGGCTGTGCCTGCAGCAGCGCCGCCTGTGTGCCAACCCAAGAGCGCCACTAACGGGCACCCTGCGGCTCCTCGCCTCTCCATCTCCTCCCGAGCCACGGTGGTAGCCAGGATGGAAGGCACCTCCCAGGGGGGCCTGCAGAGCGTCATGAAGTGGAAGACAGTGGTCGCCATCTTCGTGGTCGTGGTGGTCTATCTCGTCACGGGTGGGCTTGTCTTCCGGGCGCTGGAGCAGCCCTTTGAGAGCAGCCAGAAGAACACCATCGCCTTGGAGAAGGCAGAATTCCTGCGGGATCACATCTGTGTGAGCCCCCAGGAGCTGGAGACCTTGATCCAGGTGAGTAGGGGTTGGTCAAGCATAGACCAAGCCATGGGGAGGGATGGTGGCATGGAATTTGTCTTTCTGGGTTTTGCCTTTGGTTGAGCTTCTCCTGGTGGTCAAAGAAATCTTCTTGGAGGAGGTGACATTAGAACAGAACTCAAAGAAGCCAGAGCTTCTGTAAGCCAGAGACAGTGTAAGGGAAGAGAGGCCATACATGCGATGGCCCTGACACAGGAGCAAGTTGTATTCCACATCATCTGGTTTTAGATGTGGTGGCCACAGGCAGCAGTAGGCAAATGGGCTTTGGATTTTCAAATTCAAGTCCACCTATGTGCGCTTATTCATTTCCCGATTCTCAACTCTCTGGGGAATACTGGGCTAAGAGGGTGCTTAGAAGCCAAAGAAAGAAAGAATTTTAAACAAGTAGGGATGGATTGACTTGTCTAAGGTCACTGAGCAGAGGGTGGAGAAAAGGCCTCTGGGTTCATGAATAGGCTGATGGTGGCTTGGGATGGTCACTGTAGTGGGATTATGAAGATGGAAAAAAGAGTCATAATAATAGGGTTCATCCAGTTTTCTATTTTGACCTTTTATGTACATTGAGTTTTGTGCCAAGATATTTACATACCACGTATATTATGGAAAATGGAGCCATAAACAGAGATGGGCAGAGACCTGGGGCTGCAGTCTAAAGAAACAAGGCAGCTGTTGTGAAGGTGACCCCTCATTCTGTCCATTCACCCACTCATTCTCTGAGCTGCTGTATCCTAGGTGTTGGGGATAGAAAAGATGAGCGTCTTGAGAAAGCTGTTCACTGACCTCTCTGCTCTAGCTTCAGTATCAGTAAAATGTGGCTGAAATCCCTGCCCTTTGGGTGTTGAGAGGATTAAATGTAATTCTGAGAACTTTGAACTGTGCTAGGCATGTGGTGAGTGCTCAGAAAAGCAGCTATGGCTGCTATTAGTGTTATTCAGAGCTCAGAGTTTCAAGCAGTGGCTTGGGGAGTAAGGGTTGCCTCCAGGGGGCATTTGACAGTGTTGGGAGACATTTTTTGTTGTTGGGATTGGGAAGGTTGCTATAGACATCTAGTGAGTAGAGGTCAAGGATTCTATTAAACATCCTACAGTGCTCAGCATAGTTCCTAAGAATTATCTGGTCCAACATGTCAGGAGACTGAAAAACCCTGAAGAAAGAGATATGTGAGATTAACTAATGGGGGCCAGCGCCTTGGCTCACTTGGTTGATCCTCCACTTGCAGCGTTGGCATCCCGTAAGGGCACCGGTTCTAGTCCCAGTTGCTCCTCTTCCAGTCCAGCTTTCTGCTGTGGCCCGGAGAGGCAGTGGAGGATGGCCCAAGTCCTTGGGCCCTGCACCCGCGTGGGAGACCAGGAGGAAGCACCTGGCTCCTGGCTTCAGATAGGCGTAGCGCGCCTGATGTAGCAGCCATTTGGGGGGTGAACCAACAGAAGGAAGACCTTTCTCTCTGTCTCTCTCTCTCTCACTGTCTATAACTCTACCTGTCAAATAAAAAAAATATTAACTAATGAACTTTCACTAGACTAGAGCTATTTGAAATATGTGAAAAAAGTGGGAGCCCCAGTGAGACAAATGAGGTCAGGAAATTTTTTGTGGCCACTTATCTCCTTTAGTTCACCACAACTATTCCATGAGGACAGTTTTTAAAATTTTTAAATTTATTTACTGGGGAGGAAGAGGGAGGGGGAGAAACAGAGAGAACAAGCTCATCTGCTAGTTTATTCCCTAAGTGCCTGAGGTGGCTGGGGCCGGGCAGAGGCTGAATTCAGGGGCCAGGAACCTCAATCTAGGCCTCCCATGTGAGTGGCAGGGACCCAATTACTAGAGCCATCAGCTGGTGCCTCCCAAGGTGTGCATCAGGTGGAAGTTGGAATCAAGAACTGGAGCTGATAATTGAACCCAGATACTCTGATGCAGGATGTGGGCATCTTAACCAGTGGGTCAAACATTTTGCCCCTGTCCATTTAGGATGGAGAAATGAGGCAGTAGGGGGTGATGTTACATGCTCAGGGTCACCTGCTTGGTAGGTTGGTAAGCAGAGGGTCCTACAGCCAGGCAGCCTGAGCACATATCCCAGGCTCTGAACTACCACTCATTCCAACAGACACAGGAAATACAGGAGAGGTGTCATCAGGTAGGCTGTGGTTGAGGAGCAGCCCAGTAGTTTATCTGCAGCCCCTCCAGGGGGCTGCAAGTTGTCAGTGTGCCCTGTGTTGAGAAGGGTGGGAAGAGAGTAGGAAATGAGTCTGGAGAAAGGGGTAGGAGATGGATTTGGTGCTGAGAGGTTTGGCTCCATGTGGTGGGAAGTGAGGAGTTACTGAGAGATTCCATTAAGGTAGTGACATGATGGAAAATTTCTGTTGGAAAAAATAAATCTTTTGGCAGTGAGGAAATTGAGTTAGCTGGAGGAGAAATTGGAAGAAGGAAGACTAGTTAGAAGAATAATGTCACAACATCATAGATTAGAGATGCTGAGAGATAAAGAAGGAACTGCAATTAAGGGTTGACAAAAAAAAAAAAAAAAAACAAACTTGAAAATGACTCATTCCCCATTCAGCAAAGATTTCGAGAGTGCCTGTTATGAGCTCCGTATCCTGCTTGTTCAGGCAGAGGCCAGGTAGACCATGCGTAGCAGGAGCTAAGCACCCAGACTGGAGTAAACCCTCCCTGTTAAATCCTTAACCACCTGGGCCAGTTTCATATTTGCACCTGGCCTCAGCTTCACGTCTATAAGGGGGAGATTTTGTCCACCTATTAGAGTAGTCTGAATATCAAGCAAAGAAAATGCTCAGGAACTTTTAACACTGTTATTGCTACTGCTTTGTTATGAAGAGAAGGAAGGAAGGAAGGAAGGAAGGAAGGAAGGAAGGAAGGAAGGAAGGAAGGGAGGGAGGGAGGGAGGGGCAGGGGAGGGGAGGGGAGGGAGGGAGGGAGGAGGAGGGGAGGGGAGGGGAGAAACCAGAGAGCTCCTAAATAATGTGCATCTTGGAGTTCTGCGAAGGAAAAGAGAAGTCTTCTGAAATATACTTTGGGGCTTCAAATCCTGAATTTTCTCATTGACAAATTTTGTTTTCTCTTTCCCAGTGCAAAATGCCCTTCACAAAAGTCTCTCTCTCGTTGCTGGCTGGGCTGCATATACCAAGATGCATTTTCTTTGAGGCTTGAACCCAGGGAGACAGCACAATAATTTCTCACCCTATTCAGAGGACATGCCCTGGCCGCCTGCATAATTGTCGTTAACCCAGTCTTGGCTGGTGGGACTCAGCATCACGTTTATCAAGGAGAACCTTGGGCTGACTCTGTTGATCTTTGTTCCTCCTGTTTGTTCCCTTCCTGATTTGAGACACAATTTCCAAAAACCTCAGGGACACCATGGGCTCAGACAGAACTGAAGAGCAGATCACCTGACTGATGAAATGACCATCGTTTCCAAGGTGTGGCTAGGTGAAAGGCCTTATATCCCCTAATGCCTGATTGCTAGTGTGGCTCATCTACAGAAATGGCCAGGCCCCTTTATCATGAATCTTTCTGGAAACAGGAGACACTAATCTTAATTCCACTAAGGTGAGGTGGGTGTCATAGGACAAGCCACTTAGTCTTAGCTGGAGCTCAGCAGCTCAGCCGTGGAGGACACATGAGATCCACCCATCTCTAGAGTCTTCCCCTGCGATGGGAGGGAGTGTTCAGACTTCATGCAGAACTGAATTTTTAATGTTTTTATGTTTACATATAAACAACTGGTTGTTTTATTTAGGTACTATTTTAAGGGTTTCAGTCCTTTAAGATAGGCTCCATCATCATTCCATTTTCTGGATGAACAAATAACTTTTTTTTTTTTTTTTGACAGGCAGAGTGGACAGTGAGAGAGAGAGACAGAGAGAAAGGTCTTCCTTTTGCCGTTGGTTCACCCTCCAATGGCCGCCGCGGTCAGTGCGCTGCGGCTGGCACACCGCACTGATCCGATGGCAGGAGCCAGGAGCCAGGTGCTTTTCCTGGTCTCCCATGGGGTGCAGGGCCCAAGCACTTGGGCCATCCTCCACTGCACTCCCGGGCCACAGCAGAGAGCTGGCCTGGAAGAGGGGCAACCGGGACAGAATCCGGCGCCCCGACCGGGACTAGAACCCGGTGTGCCGGCGCCGCTAGGTGGAGGATTAGCCTAGTGAGCCGCGGTGCCGGCCACAAATAACTTCTAAGACATTAAGAAACTTGTTGAAGACCACACAATCAGTGCATGTTTAGACTGGGACTTGAGGCAGGGGAAGCCAGTCTCCCATCCAGTAACCCCTGTGCTATACCAGTCACTGGCATCATGTTTGGCTCTCAGAGCTTTTACTGCAATGAAAAGATTCGAGGAAAAGGAGAAATGGTTTGGGAGCCAGGTGTGTCTGACATGGTGCCGTGGCTCTCCATGTGTGGAATACTGCATTTTCAAAGGAGAGGGACGTGTGCCAAGTGGTTGAGCAGCACGGATACGGAGTCAGATAGTCAGATAGGTTGTTTAACCCCAGTGAGCCTAACATTGGTCCTTACGCTAAAGGGATTGAACGGTCCTCCTCGGTTGTGTTACTGGGAGGGGGAATGAGAAACACACATGACATGCCTGGCCTGCCATTGGCATTCAAAAGTGCTATTTCCTTCTCTCATCTCTCTTTCTTCTTTAAAATAAAGTTCAGGGCATGTGAGTAAATAAAGATAAGCACACATGGAATGCGTGCATTTCTTTGCCAGTGGAAATGAAGTATGGTTACCAAGAACCTGATTTGACAGTCGCTCTGTCCCAAGAACTTCTCTATCCTTGATGCTCTCCCCTGGTGCTCCTGCTTAGCTCCCGGTGCCCCATACCTTGTCTTAGAAGCTTCTGTAACTGACTTGTCTCAGGGGAAGCCATAAACATTCATCTTCTGTAATCCTCAAAGAATAAACGTGCGCGAGAGGCTTCAGGGACAGACAGGGAATTGAAGAATGCTTCAGCCGTGTGC